GGATTCGAACCTCTGTCTGTGATGTGTGTCTGCCTGTCACAGCACCAATGTTCGTTCGAGAATAGAATAGCTCACTATAGACGAACGTTGCTGTTGGTTCAGAGAAACGCCTGGAGCAACAAACTTTTGTGCCGTTCAGGTTTTTGTCTTTTCTTTTTTTTCTCTTTTGGGTGCGCTTCTCGTCGAAGAACGGTCACGTGGTTTATGCTGTCACGTGTTTGCGCTATTCACGTGACTTGACGGTACCCGCACTTTGAGTGAAAAAAAAAACATCGGTTTCCCGGCCTGAGCTGTACATGTCGACCATCATCAGCAATTACTCATCGGTCCGATTGCTCATATCTCATCTTGATCTTGATCTTGCTCTCTTTCCCAGATTTGAAGAGAAACTGACAGACCACTTCTTCATTAAACTTTATAATATAATATAAAATACCATTCATGTAATCCTATATTCTCTCTCCTGGAAAAACCCAATCACATCCCATCCCATCCCATCCCATCCCTGTAACACATACCAAAATGGTAAAGAAAATCGCTGGTGTTTTAGGTGCCACTGGTTCAGTTGGCCAACGTTTCATCCTATTGTTGAATGAACATCCAGATTTCGAATTGAAATACTTGGGTGCTTCAAAGAGATCCAGTGGTAAAAAATACTCAGATGCAGTCAACTGGAAACAAACTGACCTATTGCCTGATTTCGCAAAGGATATCATCGTCTCTGAATGTGACCCTGCTTACTTCAAAGGCTGTGATGTCGTATTCTCTGGTTTGGACGCTGACTACGCTGGTGAAATTGAATCAAGCTTTAAAGACAATGGCTTTGCTGTCGTCTCCAACGCTAAAAATCACAGAAGAGAAGAAAACGTCCCATTGATCGTACCAATTGTAAACATTGACCATTTGGATATTTTACCAAAGCATGACAAAAAGGGTTTTATCGTTTGTATCTCAAATTGTTCAACTGCTGGTTTGGTAGCCCCATTGAAACCTTTAGTCGAAAAATTCGGACCTATCGATGCTCTATCCACCGTCACTATGCAAGCCATCTCCGGTGCAGGTTTCTCTCCAGGTGTCCCAGGTATCGATATCTTAGATAATATTATCCCATATATTGGTGGTGAAGAAGACAAAATGGAATGGGAAACTAAAAAAATCTTGGGTTCAATCTCTCAAGATCAATCTCACATTAAGTTATTGACCGATGACGAAATTAAAGTCTCCGCTCAATGTAACAGAGTTGCTGTCACAGACGGTCACACTGAATGTATCGCTTTGAGATTCCAAAATAGACCTGCTCCCTCTGTAGACCAAGTTAAACAAGCCTTGGAAGAATACGTTTGTGACGCTTATAAATTAGGTTGTCATTCTGCTCCAAAGCAAACTATCCATCTATTAGAACAAAATGATAGACCACAACCAAGACTTGACAGAAACAGAGACAACGGTTATGGTGTCTCTGTCGGTAGAGTTAGAGAAGACCCATTGTTAGACTACAAAATGGTTGTCTTGTCTCACAACACCGTCATCGGTGCTGCTGGTGCTGGTATCTTGATCGCCGAATGTCTACTGGCAAAGAACTTGATTTGAGTCATGTTTTTTATATATTACAACAACATATCCTTATATACTTATTTACTTCAATAAAAACACTTTTATATCATATTCTGCTTTATGATGCTTCCTTCATTCTGCCGCATCACCTATTTAGGAAAAACCTTTAAAATGGTTGTTCGAATCGAAACTCATCTCATCACATCTCATCTCACCAAGATAACTCTCGAGTTCAAATACAATAGCAAAGAAAAGATGTCAGGTTTGCTACAACTGGATGAGGAATCTCTCTACGATCATATATTTGAAAGGTATACTCTTTTAACCTCGAATAATGACTCTTTAAAACAAGATTTGGGAATAGTAGATAGAACAGTTTCCAAGATTACTATTGATATTGACCAATTTGATTTCAATAATAAGAAATCGAATAATGATTTCTATTCTATTGAGATCAATCAACCAATTACAAGTTTGAATTCATCTTCAGTTAATAATAATTCAACTACTGGTTACGTTGTTTGGTCAACAACTCCATTTTTTACTAGATGGCTAATTTTCCATTCAAATGCTTCGATATTTAGAAATGGTGGTTCAATTGAATTGATAGACCAAGATGATGAACTCAAACTCCCACCCATGTTCTCTAATTCCGTAGGTTTACTAGAGCTGGGATCGGGAATAGCAGGTATTTTACCTGTGACTTTAGGAAATTTCGTTGGATCATTTATTGCAACTGATCAAATTGGTATTTTATCAACTTTAAAGACAAATATATTAGAAAATTTATCCCAATTAAATAGAAAAATTGTAACATCAAGGTCATTAAACTTAAATTTGGACGTGGACGAATCTACTTTACTGAAAAGATCTCTATTAAGTCTGGAATGCCTGCCATTGGATTGGGAATTATTCGATATAAAGGATACTACGAAATTAGATCCCGCATTACTCTCTCTCTTTAAGGAGAAAGAAACGATTTATGTACTTGCAATGGACGTTATTTACAATGAATACCTAATTGAGTCCTTTCTAAGCACTATTCAAAATTTAAAATCGTTAGCATTTAAGTTTAATGTGAATTTAAATTGTTTAATTGGTATACAATTACGTTCTGAAGAAGTTACAACTCTATTCCTAGAGAAAGCAATAATCGACTATGAAATGAAAGTATACTACATCCAAGATAATATCTTAGAATCATCAAGGTTCAGTATTTATATGATTTAACCTCCATGTCTTTTTTGCTCACAGTGTTAACAAGATATTTTGTGCTATTTCACTAAACCTGAGTGGATTCACCTAAAATTCCTTTTAAAAGAACATATTGATTTAAACCATAGGATAGAAGAATCATATCAGATATCTAAGCCGCTATATATAATACATCGTTTATCTAAATTGAGGACAGTATATGTGGGAATATTTTAGTTTTACCTCAACTCATGTTTCTTTCACTTGCATTGGATCTTTTCAACTACTTATTCATTAGTCTCATTTGTTTGTTAGGAAAAACTATTCATTAGTGAATCTTTGGCTGCAATTCTGTTTGGATTCCTTGTGGTCCCTTTGGTTTCCAATGGGTAGATCCTCTACTTGGAATATATATCACAGCATTTTAAAATTACCCGAAAAGTTAGTCCTTCAAAATTTGCATACCAGTGACTGCTGACAATAATATGAAATGGGTTTCTACGATTAAATTCCCCTCCTATGTAATGGATCATCAGGCTTGGGAATTATCTCTTCAGCGGTTGAATCTATAGGGCCCTGGGACACAAAACCATGAACAGCAAATCGGTATTGCACATCCAAAATAAACTCGGTCAAACGGCTAGGGTCCCCTTATTTTTCAAATCCCAGGAAACCAAAGGCTTAAGGTTTTACGTTTTTCTTGTGTGTAGGAAAATTTGAAAATAGATTTGTTTTCCTTGG